GCAGTCAATTTCACCTTTAGGCATAAATCTGATCTAAACAAACTGGTGGTTAGCACTCACACGAGCTGTGCAACATAGATGGCACTGAAATAGAAACCAAGTCTGAAATTAAATACCTAGGTGTCATTCTATTTGCTGATCTATCCTGGTCGTCTCATATCTTGATGATTTCTAAGAAAATATTCCGTCTGACTTTCTACATCAAGGAGTTAAGATATTCTGGTATAAGCCAACCCTTACTCCTACAATTCGTTAAATCTCGCATCCTGCCTATTATTCTCTTTTGTTACCCCTTAGTTTTTCCTGGGCTACTGAAGGAAGACTATACCTTGTTACGCAGGATGTTAAAGGTTGTCAGCAGCGTAGGCAACGTGCCACTTAACCAGCTTGTTAATATTCTGGTTGACAGGCACATGGATTCATGTGAAAAATGGGCTAAATCCATTCCATCCAACTCACACTACCCTCTTCATTCACAACTCTCCCCTTGTATCTCATCAGACAAAACCAGAAGCCTATATAGGAAACTATATCCTCGCACTAGTAAGTACAAAAACTCAACCATACGCTACTTAGTTCGTGTTTTGTGCGATAAAGAAAGCATTAGGCGTGATACCTATAACTTATTAAATAGTCAGTAGAACAACTGGATCTCGTCTTTCCCATTCATATCATTTATTATAGGTACAACGTTTTCTTTCTTTCTTCTCCTTTTCTCTTTTGTTTTGTTGTTGTTATGTGCTGCTTTGTTTCTTCCTTCTTCACAAACTCTACTTAAAAGATTCTTCTACATTCTTCCACACTCTGTATATCTCGACCATTTTGCTATCGCTTACGCCAGTAAATATGCTAGTAGTATCTACTTTTCTAACACCTTCAAACACTCTGTTCAATTTTGGCTTTGCTATCGACATGCAGATATGTTGTTGTTGTTATAATGGAATGAGATTACCTTTAATCTGTGTAGAATTTTATTTATTGTTAATGTGCTAACTGGATGCGATACTGTAGTAAAATGCAGAGAATTCCATTCTGTGTATTACAACTACTGTTTTGGAATAAAGCAAATTATTATTATTATTATTATCACATTGGCAATTTTCATACTTCCATATTTATTTATTTATCTATTGGACGTATCACACAGTGGAAACATTATTATTTACTGGATGACGTTTCGGTCACCATTTATAGTACGTAATTATATCTCAGTCAATGCGATTTAGTTTCAGTGTAAACCTACCGACAAAAGTGAGCCTGCTTAATCCCTGTATCAAAGAATTATTCTGTTGATTTGTCGTATACAGATGATTTCGTCTTACACTTTTTCCATCTGCGAAACATTCAATAAGGCTGTTTGCAACCCGCTATGAATATAGTTACTCATGTTAATTGTCGCATGAATATGAACAATCAATTGGGTTCTAAACGTCATCCAGTTGTAACGACAGAACACAAAGGTCAGGGAAGAGATCATTTATTGAGAGAATCAAGAGATACTTATAGATTTTCATGCACATTATTGTCAGCGGAGAAGTTACGTCCCCTAATTGGTTGTTTTCTCGCTGAAGGTTAGTGTGTACTGTTTGTCTCTCTGTCTGTCTCGATTCAACATAGAATTCGGCACCGAAGTGCAGCAGTTCGAGTTGCCACGTCCCAAATAGCACACAAAGGTAGACAAGAAGATGAGTGAAGAGAATCAATAGAGTTTGACAGGTATAAGAGCGAAACAGAATGGGTAATGGTAGAAGGAAATATGAAAGATTACGGAGACTGAATACATCTGCGCTGTCATTGACAACGATTTTGAGCCATGTCACCTATTGTCTCCAGCCATTGATTCCTAGAGCCAGTCCCGAGGTCCCCAACCCGGAAGTCTGCATCTCCCTACCTGACTCAGTTTAACTGTCAAGGATTTCATGGATTGATGCCATATTTTTGTTTGGCCACCACTTACTCTTTTTCAACGTGCACCTATATCAGCTAGTAATGCTCGTCGGAGGAGGCGATGGTTAGGCATGCGCAGCACGTAACCTAGCCATCTCAATCTATGTAACTTTATAGCCTCGTCGATTGACTTACCCTTTTTGCCCAACATTCTACGCCCAACGTCAACATTACTTACCTTATTAAACCACCTAACGTGAGACAGAGATCGCAGACATCTATGATCGAAAGCAGTCAACCTTTTCATGTCTTCAACTCGTATTGGCCATGTTTCAGAGCCATAAAGAAGGACTGAGCGAACTGCTGAGCAGTACACACGTCCCCTGGTTGATAACCGGATGTCACGCCTACGCCAGAGGTGGTGTAAGCTGACGAAAGCAGGTCGAGCTTTTTGGATCCGTGCTGAGATTTCGTCGCCAATCAGTCCGTTGGTGCTGATACAACTTCCCAAATAGGTGAAGTGGTCAACATGTTCTATCACTTCACTCCCTATCACTAAGCTAGGAGTTGACGTAGTCCAGTCCTGTAGTAGCATATTACATTTTGCAGGGGCGAATCGCATGCCAAACATACGAAGATTGTTGCTCAAGGTGTTCAGAAGACTGCATTTTGTCACCATCCTCCCCTAACAGGACTCTGTCATCTGCATATTCTAAGTCCATAAGACTATTCCCTGGTAACAAGTCGATTCCTAAGTCATTACGTTCAGTTACAGATACTTCCATCAAGATATCTATGATGAAGTTAAACAGAAATGGGGAAAGTGGACATCCCTGTCGGACACCACTGGTTGTTACCAATTCAGATGACGATTCCCCATAAGCCCTTACACGACTACGTGAGTTTGAATAGAGTGCCTTGATTAGTGCATTGTACTGTTTGCGACCGTTTCTCGGAAAGTTAAGCCATATGATCTGCGAATCGTATTTGCACACGCTAAGTCTTCTGTGATTGGTTAGTGAGTTCCTCAAGGTTAAGCTTTGTTATTGTTTTTCTCATGACCCCGATTCCGGACGTAAACATTGACTTAAATTGCTGTCTACAATTTTGGCTTGTTTGCAGTCAACTCTCAGCACACAGTGAATAATACTGTTTCACTATGTGATTATATCTAATGTATAAATTCATATGGAATTACGTACTAGCAAAGTGGGCCCAAGTTTTACACAGGTATTTTCCATACTTTAAAGGAACAAAAGTCATTAGTCCTTTTTAATATTTATTCAGCAAGTTGTAAATTTTGACTGTAATTCGGTGGTCTGCGTTATCATTCGTTAGTTATTTAGTGATCTATGAAAAAACAAAACAAAAATAATTTGCAAACAGGTTAATGTAAACTTTTCAAACAAACAAACAACATTTGCAGCATAAAATATTAAAGTCCACAGAACTGCTATGAATGTTACAAGTATTATCGTAACAATCTTTAGCACACTTTATGTATCTCATTTATTTTTTTTAGTTAGTTTTATTTTCTTCCTTTGTCATAATAATTTAACTTGTGAAATAAATTCTTATAATAATTGTATGAGTGAAATTAGCTTTTCAACTTAGTGTAAATTTGTAAATTTAATGCCTAACCGATCACTGACTAAGTTTCAACATAGAACTTTGCACGGAAGTGCAGTAGCTCACTCCATACACTTCATGTAACACACATAAAAATAGAGAAAAAGATAAATTCAAAGAAATTACAAAGAGCAGAAATGTACGGGAGAAAGAAAATAGTAACAGGGAAAATTATGGCTGTTTAGTGGATATGCGAGATCACAAAGAGTAGTAAATGTATCTGCGACATTAAGCACAATTCTCAACCATGAATACCAACACTCTCAAACCATTGGTTTTTTTACTATCTCGAGGATCCCAACTGGAAAATATACACCTCCGTTCGTGACCGACTCATACTAACAGTCGAAGACTTCATAGACTGATGCTAGGATCTGGTTTGATCACCTCTAGCCTTTTTTCGAACTTAATCCTATGTTAGGTACCATCACCCTTCGAGGAAGGCGGTGGTTTAACATATGCAACATGTCGCCTAGCCATCTCAATCGATGCAGCTTCACAAACTCATCAATTTTTCTTTATTTCCTAGCACTCTGCGACTAACCTCAGTGTAACTCGTCATATACTTTATACTTAGCTGATCAAAAATCGTGACAAAATAAGTTGATGTGTATGCATTTATATATATACATGTATCTATATATATATATGTATATATATATATATATATAAACTTTTTTTAAAAGCAGTAGAAACGAAGAAAAATCTTGTTTGTCTATACTAGTAAACACTCAATCACTTAACCCAACCAACTTCTGATTAAATTAGCTAATTCATAATAAACGCATTTATATGAATTACTATTTCCTAGTTTCAGACTCTTCGGTGGGTGTTATTCATACCGTATAAGAAGCATTTTTGTATATTATTCTTTACAATTAAGCTTTAAGTGATTAAATTATTTCTATCGCAATGTTAAACAAAGTGTGTTGTTAGTTACCTGACAATTTATAAGAAACTATTGGCCTAGTTTTTCCCTTGTATTGACAACGCAACATTTGAAGGACTTATGTTCTTTCAGTGATTCCAATTTGTACTATTTAGCATCCCAGTTAGTAAGGCTAGTTTTATGCTCTTCGCCTTTATAAGTCAACTCTGTGATCCCATGACATACCATTCCTGATCGGTTTTTATTATTGTATTCTTAATCTATACCGGCGTCGGTGGCATAGCGGTTAGGACGCTCGCTGACCATGCATATGGTCCAGGGTTCGATCCCCGGCCGATGCACTTCTTTACCTCACTAAGCCAGATATAATGCTGGTAAAGAGGAAAGGTTGGGCATGAGACTAGCAACCCCATCCTATAAAATAAACACTGCTATAGAAACTTCAAGCTACTAGCTTGAAGCCCTATGTTCCACTGGGAACGTGAAGGAAAAAAATATATACCGACCTTTTTCTTCCCTTTTCTTGTCATTTGGTCAACTGTAGTTTTTCTGAGAAGTGTTAAACTTGACTTTTTTTTTCTTATTCCCAATATAGGCAGTAACAAACCGAAATACACCTGCGGTCTCATTCACTTTATCAAGAAATGTTACAGTAGTTGTTGAGTATGTTCCTGATCCTAAAGTAGACATGTTTCAGGTAATTTTGTGTAGCATTTTTCATGAATATTCCACTTTTTGTAATAAATCTTTTGAACTATTACGTGTTTTCTCTCTCCATAAACAGATTTACACAATCAAAATCACTTGTGTTCTGTTTCATGTCAACAGAAAGTTTTATATTACTTCACAGAAACTGGTAGGCAAAATGTATTAAGTACTATGGATCTAGGGACTGTATTGATGTTTTCCGTTCAACACGCCTAATTAGTTAACCAACCGTGTCTGCATCAAAAATGCACAAGTGAAAATGATGAATAGTTCCACTAATGTAAACATAACATGATAAAAGAAACATAGAATACCTTTATGGTAAAGATTATTTGGCATTCGAAATTCGCCTGTTTATACGTCTATTTAACTTTCGTAGTTCTGTTACCTCCTCTGGTTAGGATCTCCAGTTATCTGCCTGTTGATTTCATGATTCATTGGCTGAGCTTTTCACAAAAAGAGTGGAGTAGTCTGGTGCACTTCTGGGAATCATAGGGATTCAGAAATGTGCAGAAAAAGAAAACAGTAACATTTTGCACACACCCATGCCACATTATTTATGCAAAAGAGATTGTCGCACATATGATCCCGTTTATGTAACCTGGTTCATTTGAGTGCATGGTACTATGCAGAGGATGTAGTAGATGTTTAGGCAAAGTAACTAACCTCCAGTTTTTGATGTTCTGTTTAGAATGGTTGTCATCTACTATACTTTGATAGACTTCTCTGCATAAAATCCGTGATTGTTGAGACTGAGAAAAATGTTTCTGAAGTATTTTGGTGCATATTTCTATTTAAGTTCTAATTTCACTGGTTAGAGTGAATTTTCTATTTGTTAATTTGCATGAACATTTCTCATTGTATTGTATTGTTTTGCTTTATAAATTCATAGATTGGTCGAAGTACTGATGATCACATAGATTTTGTTATATCAGAGCCAAGACTTGCAGTCAATCATGATCGACAAAATTCGAATTACAATGATGATAACAGTAAAAAGTCAAAAGATTCTTCTTCTTCTTCTTCAAAAGATAATAATCGTGGGAATTATGAAAGTGCTGTTTCACGTTTCGCTTGTCGTATCCACATTGATCGTGAACCACCGTATACTGCTCGTCTTTATGCTGCTGGATTTGATGCATCAAATAATATCTTTTTGGGTGTAAGTAGTATTATGTACTCGTCGCCAAATTATTGTTATGTACTGGTCAAGAATTTAATAGTCCTGACGCAAGAAAGACGGAAATCAGAAGACCACTAGGTTTGCGATGATACTTCTATTTCCAAAACACCAGGAGAATCAAAACATCACACAAGAGTGTGAGAGCAGAAATATATATGAATGTCCGAACATGTGTGTGAACAAATCAATAGACAGTCTTAACATGATTGGCTAATTATAATGGAGTATCGATCCATATATACATAGCAAATATAACAGACATGTCAAACAAACACTCATATTATATTATATATAATATAAGGGGAATATACATTGTTAAAGAAGACAGGTTCATCAAAGTGAAATGGTCACAGACTAAGAGAGCAATAGAAAGATAGACCACCATATATATATATATATATATATATATATGGATACATGTCAAGTAGACAGTATCTTTGACCTTGTTTTTATGTTTTGTTTTGCATTCATAAGTGCAATTCGATTGTATGTCTGTCTTCAACATAGAACTTTGTACCGATGTGCAGCAATTCCAGTCGCCACGCTCCATGTAGCACACAAAGCAAGAGAAGAAAGTAGAAGAAATGTATAATAGAGACGGTAGACAGGGATATGAGACAAAAGAAATAGTAATAACAAAGAACAATATAGTTTCATTGTAAATTATAAGTCATAAGGAGTGGATGCATCTGCGCTATGCATTGAGAACGATTTTGAGCCATATGACGATTGCTTCCAGTTATCGGTTTCTACCGTCCCGAGGATCCCAACCAGGAAGTCTACACCTTTATACGTAACTGGCTTAAACTAACTGTTGTGGATTTGATTGACTGGTGCCATGTTTTGGTTTGAGCGTTGCCAGCTCTTTTCTAGTCTGACGCTATGTCAGCTAGCTAACATCGCCCATTGTCTAGGAAGGTGATGGATGACTAGGCATGCGTAACACACGTCATAACCATCTTAGTCGATGTAATTTCAAAGCCTTGTCGATTGATTTCCTCTCCTTACCTAGTAACCAACTCCTAACCTTAATATTGCTCACCCTATTATACCACTTCACTCGGGAGGTAAAACTCAGGCACATATGCTCGAAGACAGCTAGTCTTTTCATGTCTTCCACTCTCATTGGCTAGGTCTTACAGCCACAAAGGAGGATAGAGTGGACTGCTAAGCAGTATACATACTTTTTCGTTGATAGCTGGATATTACGTATATGCCACAGATGGCGTAAACTAGCTTGTGCCAAACGAGCTGAGTTTTCGTCAGCGATCAACCCGTTGGGGCTGATGCAGCTTCCCAAATAGGTGAAGCGGTCAACGTGCTCTACCACTTCACTCCTGCCTATGTCTAAGCTAGGAGTCAATGTAGTCCAGTCCTGTAGCATCATCTTACATTTGGCGGAAGCGAATCGCTTGCCAATCATTCGTAGATTGCGGCTCTGAATGTTCAGAAAACTCTGCATTTTGTCAGCGTCTTCACCTAGCAGGGAGGACTATATCATCTACATATTCCAAGTCAACCAGATTATTGCTGGATGGTAACAAGTCAATCACTGAGTCGCTGAAGTAAGTTTGGGTTAAGTCCATTAGTACATCTATGATGAGTTTGAATAGAAATGGGGACAGTGAGCATCCCTGTCGGATACCACTAGTTGTAACCACTTCAGATGACAACCCGTTGTCAGCTCTCACCTGGCTGGCTGCATGAGTTCGAGTAGAGTGAGTGCCTTAATCAGTGCAATGTATTTTCTCGGAATTCCATTTACAGCCAAACATCGCCATAGTACCTGTTGGTTGACGCAATCAAGATCCGCCCTCAGGTCAAGAAATATGAAGATTGTTGGACGCCGGTAGGTATGCTTATATTCCAGAATCTGTCGAAGGGTTAGTATATATGATCAATACACCCTCTTCCTGGTCTAAAGCCTGTCCGGTTCTCTCGTGTTTGTTTCTCCTGTGAACCGCTTAGTGTACGCATGATTATTGGGCCTAGAACTTTAGATACCATATTGGTCAAACTAATCTTCTTGTGTTAATCACAGGAAGACATACCTCCATTCTTGTATATCGGAATAATCAATGACTTACACCAACTGTTTGATTTACACTTAACTCCCTGCCAAATATGTGCCATCAGTTGCACATTTATGAATTTAAGTATATCAGTTCATGATTTGACTGTTTGAGGTATCTTTAACTCAGTTTAATAAATTTCGATAAGATAAGATGATCCATATTTGTGTCAGAACTTTTACTAGGTAACTTTTTTACCAGTAGTTGTCGGTCACTGTGTAAATGTAGGTTATCGGAACATCGTGCAATTATTCTTACATGTTTCTAACGGAGTCTATTATTATTCTTTTACAAATATAACTTTATAAATGTCTACTTCTCACTCAGCGCTCAATTATTTTGCAACTATCCGGTCAAATCTTGATCACAGTTCGTATGAATCTATTATTATTCTATTTGTACTGAGGTCAATTCATAATTTTAGAGACTTTTCACTCTCCTTTTGACACCTTTTCGTTCTACCTGATTAACAGAAACTGGATGGACTGTTAGTTTGGTACAAAGATTTCTGAGTAGATATAATCACCTTCAAGGGGTTTATTGTATCAGTTAAACAGATTTTTCTGTATACTCCAAGTGATATGAAGCTCTACTTGCTCAAAATCCCAATATGATTAAATATGCCTGTTGTGGCTGGATGATTCGATGATAGGATACTTGTCAGTAATGCGGAAGGTCCGGGTTCGATCCTTAATCATTGCTTAGGTAAGTAGTAAGCGCGAAAAAGAGGGGTGGGCGGGTGTGAGGCTAGCAACTCTACCCCGTACAAAACACCACCGCTACTGAAACCTCAAAGATTGAAGCCTTATTTCCCACTTAGAACTCAAGGAATGAAAAACTTCCTATGTGTCAGTTACATTACAGAGCATAAACGCTTGCTTCCATTGCCAACCAGATGAGGGCGATGAATAGCCCGCTTGAAAAATCTTATCGTATATATATATATATATATATATATATATATATATATATATATCATGGCCCTATTTATCTGACAAGTTCGCTGTGTAGAAATATGACTTGCTTTATTATATTACGTCGAAAATTTGTTTATTTTACAGGCAATCTTTCGTTTTACTTTTTAGTATATATATATATATATATATATATAGGTCACGTAAACTGTTTATTACGTATTGCATGAATATACGCATACCTTGCTTCCTATTTTACTTGTTCATCATGATACTGATAAGGAAACTAGGTAAACTGATAAACAAACCGTCAACTATTCATCTTAGCACTACAGTTCTTCTTCTAAAAACAATTTTATTTTATGACCTTGTCCTTTTTTGGCCTAGTTCATCATACTTTTTGGAAGTTACTTCTATACTGTGTTTATTGCATCAAATGTATTTTCTGAAATAAATTTGTTCGTAAGCATGTTAGGTGTTAGACGTTACTACTAATTGATATATGCACTTACTCTTATTCTAAGATAATTTAAAGATTTCGCTGACAAGAGATTACGTTCTTTGAATATTTTGTCATTTTTATGATTATTAATATTAGTAAGGCCTAAATATGTATGCATCCAATTGGTTTCCACAATTCAACATATCGGTGATTGACTTCTAAGTCTGTTATCACTTTTCCTTAATCATTCACGCGTCAAATGTTAAAGTACTCATTGGAGATGTGGTTCTTTGTCATAAGAGCCCAGTTTTTAGTCAGAGGGTCATGGATTCGAGTCCCGCTCTACCTATTGCAGTCTGGGCATCTGGTCAGTATCATCAATCCTCACATAATAGGGGTGACTTTTACCCTGGTACATGAAAACCTGTCCCGGTTTATTGGTTTCAGACGTTGTGTTAAAGTACTCGGTATTGTAACAGTTTTATCAATTGCGGAGTTTTGAGGTGTGTTGTCATGGTTTTCTTTGAATAATACTGAGTTTATTAATCATCATAACAGTTAACTGATAAGTCTTCTATCCAACTACTAATGACCTTATTTCATATGATTACTGTAAAGTTAATGGTAATAATGATAATATTAATGACAATGTTTCTTTCCTTTATCGTATTAAAATGTCCACTTGAAGTACTCTTTCGGTGTGAATTCTGTTGCAGATTAGTTTACATAACATATATATATATATATATATATATATATATATATATATATATATATATATATATATATATATATATATATATATATATAGTGCACTTTTTCACCTAGTTCTATTGATTACTTTGTTATTCACTACTGTGACAACGTATAATATGTTGACTGTTAAACGCATTGGTATGCACTTTTTAAAGAATTTGATGGGGATTGAATGGCTAATGGTGGATTTCTTCGTTTATGTGTGTGTCAGGCTGTTCTTCAACAACCGCTGAACGGTTCATGGAATAGTGTTGGAAAACTCAAACAAATTGGAAAAACAGTCTTCTTTGTGTAAATAGGATTGTATGTCGAAGGTCAATGATTTTGTTATCAGTAGATAGACTAAGTGTAGCTATGCAAAATCGTAAACGAATATACTCTGATTCCACTTACTGCATTACTCAGAAGTACAAGTAGGAATATAAAACAAGTGGAATTGAAGAAATATTAGAGTTAGGCTTCTTACCACAAAGAAAACTAATAATAATAATAATAATAATAATAATTGTTATTATTATCATCCCCTGTAGTTTCGAGTAGAAAAAACGGCCTCAGCACCATATCCCCATTTCACTATTTCCGCGTTGTCTTTTTTGTTTGCCTATATGATTCTGCATAAGCTTTCATTTCCTACTCTCACCATCCTCCCCACGTGACTCTCGGACTCCCAATTCGTCGTTCAACATTCGGGTTCCACTCGGAGGGAGACCTGGTTTGTGATGCCACTCAATGGTCCCCTCAGCGTGTTCTAGCCATCTGCATTTCCTTCATCTTATCTGTTGGGCAACAGGTTCT